GCTAACCAACGGTCTTTCTGATGGAAATACTCCTTCTGTCACAAATACTTGTCACAAATTTAGCATTGTGCCGAGATTTCGTTAATTTTTAGAAAAGTGAAGCCACACTTTGGATCGCCGACGTAAGCTACTCATGTTCGACTCGCGCGGTCATGCCAACACTTCCGGTAGACGCTTCTTCGTTGGTGTTGTTCAGCGGTTTCTTCTTCCGCTCGGCGGACTGTGAATATCGAAACTAGGAATCGAAATTTTAACTTTTGAACGATTCCGGGAAAAACGAAAAGTTAGTCTCGGTTCCAATCGATGCTCGATTCTCGATACCCAACCCTAATCAGGCGTCTATTTGGGACTCGGCTAAGTTTTACGGTAGTTTGACATGATCAAAAATACTTTTTGCGCAGCTTCTTCCCTCAAGCTGAACTCAAAATAACCTCTTCACCTCTGTATCCCACTGAATCATGTGAACTGGACTGGGTTACTGCAATAACATTATTGGAAAACTGTATAATATGCCACCACTTAACAAGTGCAAAAATTTAGATTTATATGCCGCCAATTACCATGTCCAATATCAATATCTATATCCCTCTGTCAAACTCTTTTTAGTGCTATATTCTAATGCATGTTGTACCATTTTTAATTTTTTTATGAGCCAGTGGAAAAGAATATTGTTCAAATGTGCACTCAAAATGTACATGTTGAATGATAACAAAAAGCTATCTATAGATACAAAGTCTTATGACATAAAAAGTCAGTTATCAGATCAAATTTAATATATTTACGAAATAGTCATAATTATTACATAAAACGTCAAAATTATGATATAATAAATCATAATTATGAGATAATAATTATAATTACATAAAAAGCTATAGTACTTATAAAACGTCAATCATGATAGAAGGGTAAAAAATGTCAGTCATTATAAGATAATGTCTTTATAAAGCCATTCTTATAACAAGATAAAAAGGCAGCATTTTGATATATTAAGTCATAATTATGAGATAAGCCTAAATTGACAGTCAATTATGAGATTAAAACGTAAAAATTGTGACATAAAAAGCTAATTATACACAGTAATCATGCCATACTACACCATAATTAATTCCACATTTTGTTGTAATATAGTATAATAATTATGACCCGTGTCGTAATTTTGCATTCCAGAACATGATGGTTAGACACTTCCACGATATGTTTATCTGATGTTGTTAAGATTCTCACCCTTGGCTCCTCACTAAAATAGCAACATCCTTTAGACATGACAGGAAGTTGATAAGCATCTTCTCAATACAAAAATATGTTTTTCATGTAAGTGGTAGCTTTACCTGTTAAAGTTTATAGTTTGAATCGATCTGCCATACGTTTTTGTTTGTTTGCATCTTTTATCCACACTAGTTTACTTTCTGTTAATTTATGTAAGTGTAGACAAAGCTTTCATGCAGGATCTGGGTGCTTGCTATGAGAAAAATCGATCGATAAACGCAAATGGCAAAGGAAGTGCATCCAAACTCGCTTCAGCCCGTATTTATGAGGCGCGTGTGATTTGTCCGCGAGTCGGAATTCAGTAAAACATCTGTTTTAATACCAAAAATACTTTTTTTTTACACTACGCCGAACGGTCGTTTAAAGAGACTATGTGTCGGAATTGCTGCCATCTAGCGGTATTTTTGAAATACAATATACTGTATGTTTGTGTACTTACAGCATTATAATAACCATTATTACATAAAACTCAGTACAGAAAATTACATTTAGAAATATGTGTTCCACACATATGTTTTTTTTCTATAGCTTGTAGATCAGAGAACATTTGTCATTTTCTGACCAAAACCGCAAAACAAAAAACATTTTCTGAGGTGTATAATAAATGTTGTAAAATAATTTCCTAATAAGAATCGACACTACTTAGTGCTACAGGGATAGTGTACAGCGGCAAAAAAACAAAAACATAAAACAAACAAAATATATTTGAAGTATATCTTTTTTTTTTAACTAAAAAAAATATGAAAAGTGCCATTTGAATTTTTTTTCTGAAATGATCATTTTTATCAAGCTTGTATATTTAAGTTCAGTAATTTCACTTAAACGGCAATGAAGATTACCTATTAATTGTCATTTAAGTGAAATTACTGAACTTAAATATACAAGCTTGATAAAAATGGTCATTTTAGAAGAAAATTTCAAATGGCATTTAGAGGCTTTTGCATCTGAACTCTTCATTTATAGAAGCTGTTTTATACCTTATTCCAGTATCACAGAAGTGGCAATGTGATGCTCCCCCAGTCTTTACAGCCTTTTCTCATTATGTCACTTTCACACATGCTGCATCTATAATGACAAAACAGGAAAGAAGCAACACACTTTTATTTTCATTTCAGTGAAAGAGTTTTTTTTTAAACATCACATTATGCTTTTTCTGTACATTGCAGACATCTCTAAATGCATGCACTTTGAACTAATATTAATTTTACTCAGTACTTGAAACTACAAGATGGATTGTTGTTGAAAGTCAAAGAGTTTCTTCTACAAACATCTTAACGAGAATTCGCTTTGAGAGATAGTTGACTTCAGTGATGCAGTCTGCACCCCCACACACACACACACTCAGTTGTGACGGAACGTCTCGCTCCCTCTTTTCAGGGAACCATTTGGCTGTGTCCCAATTCAAAGGCAACGCCTTCGAAGGCCGCGATGGTCAGACTGAGCATTGTTAAATGGGACGGTCTAGCCTACGGTGGATTGTTCTTTTCGACTAGACGCTGTGAAAGCTGCCATTGATGAGTGACAGTAACGTTTGTTATAGACTTTTTGGAAAGTTATATTAAACCGTCTGAAAACAAAACAGGGTTCACAAACTGTCTAAATATGTTCACTAAGGTGCATTTCTATATATAATAAAGAATATAAACTATATATAATTGCCTTTTAGTTAGATAATTCAACATTTGAACCGCTTTAAAGATATTTATTTATTTTTTACATTCGTATCATTAGATATTTTTATTACGAGCTACGCCAGCAGACTCTCCTCTGTTCGGCATTTGTTTAAAGGGATACTCCACTTTTTTGGGAAATAGGCTAATTTTACCACTCCCCCAGAGTTAAACAGTTGAGTTTTACCATTTTCGAATGTATTCAGTCGATTTTCTGATATTTATAAGAATATTAGTAACCAGACAGTTTCTGGTCTCATTGACTTCCACAGTATATTTCTTTCCTACTATGGAAAAAGTGGAATATCCCTTTAAAACGGATGATTCCAAAGGTTGGCGATTTAGCCAAGTCACCAAAGGAGCAACTTCTCTCTATTTACAGATGTGATGATACACGCATGGGCTGATGATGTATGTACGCAATTTCCCACAAAAACCATCCTGACAGGTCTAAAATAAAAACACATGACTTACCATAGTGAATCAGGGTAAGACAAGAACATGATTTGGAGGAAGGATTGATGTATATGGACTCAATAATAAAAAAAAGTTACATAGTGTACCTTTAATTTAAGGAATGCAGGTCTGTTTGTTATCATTTCCATTCATCTTGCAAATGCAGCTGCTATAAGGTTGACACAGATACAACATAAATGTCATTTAATTTTGTGGAAAACAAAACTGTGACATGAACAAAAGGGATACCCAAAATCTGATATCAATGTTAGAAAACTAGTTCAAAATCTGCTTCAGTGACACCAAATGTTCACATTGTGTGATAAATTACATGAATTATTAGTCATTATAAAGAGAACAGATAATATACATATATATAAAAGATTAAATAAATTATGAGAAATCAAGCTACCTCCACACGCTGTACAACTCCGAAAAGGGACAGGAAGTGACATCACAGGAACAGATTTGTTTTCCATCTAAAGAGAGCAAGTTAAAAACAAGCAATTCATAATTGAGTGTTGCGCAGAAAATAAATAGAGCAAATAAATAAATAATAAACAGTAGAGCCTGATCGATAAAGGATTTTGAAGGCTGATACAGATACAAATATTTGTTGGTTTTAAAATCCGATATTCCGATATATCGGACGATATTTTTTTTTTATTTCAGAAACACGCAACAAAACACTTAACAGATTTCCCTAACAATAGTTATTTATGAGTTTTAACTAAAATAATATGATAATGCATTTTTAAAAAGAAACTTGTTTCTTTTATTGTCACAACAGAACAGACTGATGATAGTGGCATTATTTAGCTTTGTGGCTAGTCTATGATGAGCTATAATTTAGCAATGGATTACGTCATACTGCAAATTGTAAAACATACATTTTGAATATAACAGGCCAAGGAGAGATGATACGTCTCATTGCTATAACTGTCACACGCTATTAAAGAAATACTTCAGTTACATTGTAACAACAAACGTAACGTAAATATTACTAGCTAATTCCGCTTCACTCTCGGCTTATTTAACAGCAGCAAAACTGGACATTTTAGTCACAAATATTGTCATGCTTATTTGAGTTAAGAGAACTGATGGGGATGTTCTTTTAATTATTATTCAAACATATATATGTCTCGTGACCAACTCACCATGAACACACTTCACCGATGATCTCACTCGCGGATGACTGGTTCTCTCTGCCCGGCAGGTTGCAGGATGTGTGGCGCGTTATAAACGAGTGTTGCCAACAGGGACGGTGTAGAGTGCCCTCTGGTGGACAAACTATACAACTCCAACACTCATGACATGGTTGAAGAGCGTTGTCCGTTTTTATTTTATTTTTGAAATATTAATTTATCGGCCATTATAACTGCCGATACCGATAGTTTGGAAAATGCCTAGTATCGGCCGATAATATCGGCCAGCCGATAAATCGGTCTGGCTCTAAATCAATCGCAGTGAGTTAATGGGTCAGAATGGAGGAATAAAGAACAGAAGCATAATCACAAATTTTATTGAAACATGTAGCTTGTTTCACAAAGTTAAGCAAATATCTTTGATTAATTGACGTTTATATCATTGCTGTAAGTAAATACTGCATGTTAGATTTTGCACTGCAATTTGTTCACAAATTGGTCAAGCTTTTTATTTCATTGCGAATAAAATTGCGCTGCTGAGAAGAATTAAGTCAAATATTGGTGCAATCATGCTCGATTTTCGCTTCCGAAAACCATTTTTAAGCTGCTCCTCTTCTGTCCATCCATAAAGCATTGGATCACGGTGGCGTAATAGAATGACATGCATTGAAGATGCATAAGCAGGCAAAGCACATCAACCAATGCAAAACCTGGCTTGATATGTTAGCGGATGCTGTCATCAGAGCTCTGGGTTCTCTCATCTGATCTTCCACGGTTGAATAAAGGGCAGCAGAGAGTCGAGCGGAAGCGGGGAGGGAGCAGCCGTCGCCCCAGCTCCTGAAACACCTTCTTGAAAGTCTCTCTGAGAGCTGAAGAAGAGAAGTAGAATACGAAAGGGTCGAGACATGCATTCAGTGTGCTGGTGAGCAGGGCATAATTTCTCCAGTGACTGCTATAGCCCCTGACAAATCCGTCCACATGTGTGATGTTGAAGGGCATGAAACAGATGACAAAGACCAGAAGCGTTCCCAACGCCATCCCGATGGCTCTATACCGCTTCTTGGTGTGAACTTTGGATAGACGGGAAAGTATGCAGATGCACTTGATGTAACAGAAGCAGCAGATGAGGAAAGGAATGAGGAAGAAAACAAAAAAAAGCTCCAGGCGAACCGGAACGAGGATCTTGAGCTGTTCATCGCTGAATTCTTCATAGCAGGTGTTGCGCTTGGATGGATCCGTGAAGTTGGGGTTAAAATAGTTGTGGTATTGCATGACGTAGACGACGCTACAGTGCACCATGGAAATCACCCAAAAAAAGACGCTGGCTATCATGGCATTTCGAGGGTTGCGTTTCAGCTTGTATTTAATGGGGAAGGCTACACCGAGGTACCGCTCCACGCTGATGGCCGCCAGGTGTAAGGTGCTGTTGGCGATGACGGAGTAGAAGATGAATCCCGACAGCGGGCAGAGGAAGTACGGCATCGTCCATTTCATGTTGGCCGCCTCCACCATGCGAAACGGCAGGAAAAAGAGGAAGATCAGGTCAGAGATGGTTAAACTGAGTAACAGCACGTCCATCGGGGTGGAGCGCTGCCGCACCTTCTGGGTGAAGGTGTATAATGCCAAGATGTTGGCGGGAAGGCCGGTGATCAACGTGAATCCATAGACCCCTAACACCAGATTACTGAGACGCACCGTCCACACCATCGTCACTGTATGCAAAGCTAATAGCTAACAGAAAAAGAAAGATTTAATTTAAGATAAGCATTTTAAACTTGTTTCATATTTTTGACTTCAAGTACATAAAATCCAGATATCAAATTGGCTCACGGTTTCACTTAACCGATGTATGTTAAGATTCTCACCCTTGGCTAATGTCTAATGCTACGTTCACACCGGACTCGAATCGCGCGTCAAATTTGACGCGTCTAGTTTGACGCTTGACCACTTTGTGTTAATTCGCGTGTCAAGAGCGAAACTGGCGCGCGTAAAAACAAAAGTTTGAAGCGAAATTTACGCGCGTCGCACGTCAGAATCGAAATCCTTTGGCGGCTAGGGTTGGGTATCGAGTATCGATTGGAACCGGGACTAACTTTTCGTTTTTCCCGGAATCGTTCAAAAGTTAAAATTTCGATTCCTAGTTTCGATATTCACAGTCCGCCGAGTGGAAGAAGAAACCGCTGAACAACACCAACGAAGAAGCGTCTACCGGAAGTGTTAGCATAACCGCATGTGTCGAACATGAGTAGCTTACATCGGCGATCCAAAGTGTGGCTTCACTTTTCTAAAAATAACGAAATCTCGGCAAAATGAAAAATTTGTGAAAAAAGGAGTATTTTTACAGAAGGAGTATTTCCTTCAGAAAGGATTATTTCCTTCAGAAAGGCCGTTGGTTAGCAACCTTAGATAAACTTTTTTGACCCTGCCTCTTAAAAGAATCGGAATCGAGAATCGTTAGGAACCGGAATCGAAACAAGGAATCGGAATCAGAATCGTTCAAATTCAAACGATACCCAACCCTATTGGCGGCCATTGTTTTTATGTCGACCGAGCATTCATCAAGAGAGTTACTAACTGAATCATTCGCGCGTAATGCGCTTGACGCGCGAATGAGACGTATTCGCGTCTTCCGTGCCGCGCTCCATGCCTCATTTGCGCCGCATGAATTTTTCACACGCGTAATGCGTCTTTTGCATTGACTTAACATTGAAATCATTCGCGCCTGACGCGCTATTCGCGTCCGGTGTGAACGTAGCATTAAACATGCCAGGAAGTTGATGAGCATCTCCTATGGAAGTACATGAATGACAAATGTTTTTGAAACAAAAAAGCCTGTTAAATTGCACTTCTTGAAAAAATGCATTTCATTAACCTTGCTTGCATTGTATTTTTAGGGCTTGTATTTTAATGGGCTAAAAGTCAACATGGTTTTATATTTAAGTTGTGAATATTTCGGCTGTCGACGAAGAAAACTATAGAGCAACCGGTAAGAGAGTCATTTATTCATAAAAATATATCTGTAATCTAGAACGAGCGTGCATGCGAGACAGATATTAGGGACTTTAAGCAACAGCTGCTGATAGAACGGCGACGGCAGCCGAAAATAAACAGTTAACTGCCATACTGCCCTACAAAGCAAAAAGGCAGTAACTGCAGTTTTGGTAAAGCATTAATTATTACAATTTTCATGACATTCAAGGCATCCTTTGTTATGTGACAATACATCTTATCTTAAATGCGTGTCGTTTTAGAGAAAAATGGTAGTCGTTTGCACAGTAACTGCAAAAAGCCCTAGCAAAAGTCATTTTTCTCAGTTCTGCACTCTGCGTAGTTACTGCCTTTTTGCTTTGTAGGGCAGCATAGCTAAAGAGCGCAAAAATCACTAAGCAACAGTAAAGAGGACGGCATAGGGAATAATTTAATCATCAGACAAAATACAAAAAGAAAGTGATTTTAAAAAGAAAGAGAAGGGTTGATTTTAGCACTTAATGATATACAGAAATGATTTCAATGCCACTTAACCTAAAACATAACATTAACTGTCTTAATCTGTCACGTAGTAACGACTACGGCAAATCAGCTGTTCTCCCGTAGTAGACGGTTACAGTAGAACGTCAAGAAGTAGCAGTTAATGTCGCGCATGCGCAATAGAACGCCAGAATGTCGTTGCCGTTCCACCAGAGGCTGTTGCTTAAAGTCCCTATTGAGCTCCTGACCGCACGGCAGAGAGACTTTAGCGTTTTAAAGTTTTATAGTTTTCTTCGTCAACAGCCGCTTGCACCCCCTGCTGGCGAGCTCGACTAACAGCTCAATCGGTAATCTACTGATATGTCAAATGTTCAATTTTCAGTCGAATTTGAACCACTGAATTTGTAAAGCGAAATAAAATGGACCGAAAATTGCCTATCGAATATTATATATATATTTTTTTTTTTAAATGAGTATTTTGGAAGTGAAATCTGAAAGGTGAGTGTGGATTATTTAATTTTTGATCATAAAAACGTGTGAAATGTTTTCAATAGAAAAGCTTAAATATGCAACCATGTTGAATTTCAGCCCATAAAAATGCAAGCCCTAAAAATACGATGCATTAAAATGCAAGCAGGGTTAATGCAATTCAATGCAAACAAAAACAAAAAACAAACATGAAAGTAGTCAGTGTTGGGTAAGTTCCTCTAAAAAAGTAATTAATTACTAGTTACTAATTACCTCTCCAACAGTGTAATTAGATTACTGTACTAATTACTCTCTCTAAAAAGGATTTAATTACTTTTAATTACTAATTACTTTCAAAATCCCATATCAACCTCAACCAGCTGAATAATACAAGGATATACATGAATGTGTTTTAATTCTTTCAAATAAATACTATATAAAATAAAATTGCATGAATTATCCTTAAACTGACCAAGGTGGAGAAGGTTACATTATAAAAACATACTTTTTAGCATTTCAATGTTAAACCCACTATTGTTTTATGTCTGATGTCATGACATTTCACACTTTTTCCATACATATTTTACAATAATTCATACGAATTTTTACGAGTGCGGTCGTAATATTTAGACACCTCATAAAATGCATATGAATCGCTGTGAGATCGGATTGATCTATACACAGTATTTACCTCAATTACAGATAAATGAAGAGTAATCCCTTACTTTACATTTTCAAGGGAAAAGTAATTAAATTACAGTAACTAATTACTTACTAATTACTTACCAACACTGAAAGTAGTGCAATTCAACAAGCAGTTTTGTTTCAAAAACATTTGTCTATTATATTACTTCCATAATCTCCTCAATACTAAAAAATTGCCAAGTCAAGACACCTTTATTTATACTGGACTTTATACAATACAGATGGAGCTAAGACTCCATTAAAGGAAATGAGGATTCACAAATAAGAATTGAGAAGCACACTAAACCTCCCCTACAAGGAGTTATTCTTATTACTGTAATTGACCACACAAAGGAGCTTCAGGGTAGGAAAGAATCCTATTTTGGCAAGTAGGTCACTTATTAATGGCAATAAAAACAGTTCAACACCGATATAGGACTGCCTAAACTAAACATCTGTGCTAAATATGCATCTATCTATGCTTGCAATAATAAATAAACATGCAGTATATTTAGGATATTATCTAATAAATTATCATGAGATTTGATCAGTGTTCCTTCAATTATTGTCTTGTACATATTGTGCACTTTTTCATTGTATGCTTGGAAAAACATATTATTACACAGTATAAGAAAGCATCTCAGGAAATGCATTAACACATTCAGATGTTATTACTGAGAAAAATAAATAATTCTGCAAAGCACATACAGTACAGAGATCAAACAGATGATTGGGTGATGCAATTTCACACCTGGGTATTTGGAGTATCTACACAGCAACTAATAAAGTTCGTAGCGACCAACAAAATATTATTACTTAAAATGCATTTCCTAGAACACTTCCAAACTGCAGATTTTATCTGCATCATGACTGTATATGATCTATACATCTGTTTTAATCTTCAGCTTGCATTACCAGTCAAGGGAAACGTGTTTAAGGGGAATACCAGACTGGGCAATGGAAAATATGAGTGAAGAGACATTATAAACATTAGAAAATTAACCAGCACCATCATTTTCTAGACAGAAACAAATATATGTTTCAGTCTGGAAAATATACTATATTTAGAAACTTTAGCAACATCTATGTTTCAGAACAATTTACTGTTTTTAGTAAGTGTAAAAGTACATTTAAAGAAATGGAATGAAAAATAAGCCCTTAAAAATGTAATGTGTATACTGTAAATATCACAACACATTATCTGGTATTTAGGGAAACCATATTTCTATATATGATTTTATGTAATAATTAATCATTAGAATGAAAGACAATACATGTTTGTGTATATATGAAGACTTCAGATGCAAAAGCCTAAGTCCGTCTAACGTTTTTCTTTAATATTAACATTTTTATCAGGTTTCTATGTATTGGTTTCTACCCAAGTACCTACATTTCTGACTGGGCTGAGGTTGGGGTTTATTGAGTTTTAAGTTAAAGTATTTGATGAACGTATATGTGCGGAGAACATTCACTCAATATTATTATCTCATTTTTGACATAGGAGGCTTTTGTATTGGAGTCTTCATATAGTACTGCATGCTAATAATCCTCATTACAGAAATATGGGTTCCACATGTAGTCATTGTCAATTTCTGACCAAAACCGCAAAACAATGACCTGTTGACGCATTAGAACTTTCAAAATAATCATCACAAACCAATCTGGAATATATATCTTTACTGTATTTAGAAGCAAAATATTTACCTTACTTAATCAGTCAAGTATCTCAGAAGTGACAATGTGATGCTCCTCCAGTCTTTACAGCTTTGTCTCATTGTGTCATTTTGACACATGCTGCATCTATGATGACAAAACAGGAAAGAAGAAACACATTTTTTCATTTCACCGAAAGAGGCGAGCTTTTTTAAATAACACAACCACAGAACGCTTCACATTGCAGACAACTAACATTAATTTTACTTGGCTTTTTCTTGTTCTACAAACGTCTTAATGAGAATTCACACACACAAAAACCACATGCACACAATGTGTCACGAATAGAAGAAGGCGAGATTGAATGAGTACGATTAAAATTGATTACTGAGTATGACTGAAAAATAAATGTGCAAACAAAGCGAATGAAATTGGGAGAATTTATTTGTAATTTCCTGTGTGCTTAGAAACATCTGATCAAACATTTGCTTTTCATCATGTTTTTGTTAGGCCTGTCAACAGCCTATTTTACTTAAAGTCATTAGCATTTTCCACATCATTAACATAAAAATTAAAGAGCTCAATTAATTACACATCCGTTAGGTGGGTCTCCTTCATACTCAAATGCGCAATCCATCCACAAAAGCAGCGTAGCGGATCGCAGTAATTGAGCGGCGTTACAAGAAGCATCTGTGAGCAGAGAGCTGAATAAATAGATGCGAGAGGACAAATAGTGGCAGTCCATTATTTATCATTTAGCAGTTCAGCTCTGCCAGCCATCCTAATTCATTTGGATTTTGTTCGAGTTTTCCTGTCTGTGGAAAAACATTGTATTGTGTTTTATTTTCAGACACTTGAGTGCAAGAAAAGTCCCATAGCAGCATTGTTCCAATGGATAAAATTCACACTGTGTCCTATTCAACAGCCATGGCTTTCACATGCCTACGTGACAGTTGTGCGGGAGAAACAAAACCATCAGTCCTTTTATCAAAGATGTGGTCGCTCTGACAAAATGGAAAGATTTGTATGGCACGATAAGCGGAGGGCCAGAGGAATGGCTGAGCATTTGTTTCTTTCCACCAGAGAGACATTGTGCTTTGTAAGAAAGTTTTTTGCAGTGCAAACAGTGTCGGTCCAGATGAGCACTGCATTTTCTCAGCGTCTGGGTCTGCCTCTGTGGACCTGGGGGAGAAATGAAAGAACAAAATGCTTCATTTGATATATATATCATGTCTAACGGCCCTTTCACATCACCTGAGTCAGCGATGCCCAATGACCTGAACTCAAAGTTCAACTTTGACCATTTTGCATAGATAGTAGACAATGTGCACGATGTATGAAAAGTCTCCCTGTGCAATGACAAGCCCTACTTTGCACACAAGTTGATAATCATTTACAGTAAAATAAAAAATAATTAAAAAGTCAAGAGATCTTGAATGCATTACAATGTCCCACAAAGGTCTAATGTTAATGTTAATTTACACATTAAATACATGTTTAAAATCTAGTGTGAACTAACATGGACAAACCTATTTTTATCAACTAATAATACTAATAAATGCTGTTAGGTCATTTTTTTGCCAATGCATAACGTCATGTTAACAATCGACACCTTATTGTAAAGTGTTAGTGCTTATTAAAAATCACCAAGAGCATGCAGAAACTGTAAAACTTAGTGAACCCGAGTGTTTTATTTTTTGTTTCTATAATCTATCAAAACAATCACCGCAGATTCTGTACCAGGCTCAAATACGTGTTGTTCACCGTTTACAGTGCCCACTGCCCTCTTTCATACCCAGCAGCTTCGTAAAATTGCATTTCCGTGATGCTATCTGCAGTGGTTGTCACATTTAGATTAAAACGGTGCCTTGATGAGTCACGTGAAAGCATTTTCACATCCTCTTAAGTGACTGATTTAGAACGCACGACATTGGTCAAACACAAATAGCATACAGCTGAGCTGACAGCGTGATATTTTAATACGCATTTACATACATAGCACATTCAAATACAAACACGTAAATAACTGCATTTCTCTTTATATGTCAGCTATTTTGGATTCATTTACTCACTGAGCTTTGAGCATGGCATGCATCATATAGGATACCATAAAGAAATGTGGCCTAAACAAGATATCTTAAACAAGGTAACATAATAATAAAATGCATTTTGAATTTTTACATCAAACGCTGACTGGGTTTTGTCACTAAAACATGGATGAAGTTACTTTTATATCATTATTTACAGTGTAGCACCCGAGAATCATGACAAGCTCGTGCATTTAACTCTTTTAAATGTTACTAACCTGTTGCATTACAGTGTATCACCCGAGAATCATGTCAAGCTCGTGCATTTAACTCTTTTAAATGTTAAAAGAGTATGTTAAAAATGTTAAAAGAGTTAAATGCAACTAACCCGTTGCATTACAGTGTAGCACACGAGAATCATTTCAAGCTCGTGCATTTAACTCTTTTTAATGTTACTATCCCGTTGCATTACAGTGTAGCACACGAAAATCATCATGTCAAGCTCGTGCATTTAACTCTTTTAATGTTACTATCCTGTTGCATTACAGTGTAGCACACGAGGATCATGTCAAGCTCGTGCATTTAACTCTTTTAATGTTACTATCCTGTTGCATTACAGTGTATCACCCGAGAATCATGTCAAGCTTGTGCATTTAACTCTTTTAATGTTACTAACCCGTTGCATTACAGTGTAGCACACGAGAATCATTTCAAGCTCGTGCATTTAACTCTTTTAATGTTACTAACCCGTTGCATTACAGTGTAGCACACGAGAATCATTTCAAGCTCGTGCATTTAACTCTTTTTAATGTTACTATCCCGTTGCATTACAGTGTAGCACACGAAAATCATCATGTCAAGCTCGTGCATTTAACTCTTTTAATGTTACTAACCCGTTGCATTACAGTGTAGCACACGAGAATCATTTCAAGCTCGTGCATTTAACTCTTTTTAATGTTACTAACCCGTTGCATTACAGTGTAGCACACGAGAATCATTTCAAGCTCGTGCATTTAACTCTTTTTAATGTTACTATCCCGTTGCATTACAGTGTAGCACACGAAAATCATCATGTCAAGCTCGTGCATTTAACTCTTTTAATGTTACTAACCTGTTGCATTACAGTGTAGCACACGAGGATCATGTCAAGCTCGTGCATTTAACTCTTTTAATGTTACTAACCTGTTGCATTACAGTGTAGCACACGAGGATCATGTCAAGCTCGTGCATTTAACTCTTTTAATGTTACTATCCTGTTGCATTACAGTGTATCACCCGAGAATCATGTCAAGCTTGTGCATTTAACTCTTTTAATGTTACTAACCCGTTGCATTACAGTGTAGCACACGAGAATCATTTCAAGCTCGTGCATTTAACTCTTTTAATGTTACTAACCTGTTGCATTACAGTGTAGCACCCGAGCATCATGACAAGCTCATGCATTTAACTCTTTTAAATGTTACTAACCTGTTGCATTACAGTGTAGCACCCGAGCATCATGACAAGCTCATGCATTTAACTCTTTTAATGTTACTATCCTGTTGCATTACAGTGTATCACCCGAGAATCATGTCAAGCTTGTGCATTTAACTCTTTTAATGTTACTATCCCGTTGCATTACAGTGTAGCACCCGAGAATCATGTCAAGCTCGTGCATTTAACTCTTTTTAATGTTACTAACCCGTTGCATTACAGTGTAGCACACGAAAATCATCATGTCAAGCTTGTGCATTTAACTCTTTTAATGTTACTATCCTGTTGCATTACAGTGTAGCACACGAGGATCATGTCAAGCTCGTGCATTTAACTCTTTTAATGTTACTAACCTGTTGCATTACAGTGTAGCACCCGAGCATCATGTCAAGCTCATGCATTTAACTCTTTTAAATGTTACTAACCTGTTGCATTACAGTGTAGCACACGAGAATCATGTCAAGCTCGTGCATTTAACTCTTTTAATGTTACTAACCTGTTGCATGTGCATTGGGTGTCCATGCATGGGCAATCGTTGAGGGCTCGTATGCAGCACTCCAGTCACATTTGGAGGTCTGTGTCGGCGGTTCGCGTTCACAGGCTGGATGTTGCGCGCCTGTTGCATGCGTTCACGTGGAAGCATCTGGAACTGATCCGGACCCAACACTGGAGGTGGAGTAGGAGGCTTCTGACCCGCTTTGTTGAGCTGCTGGATGGGTTGAGAAGGTACAGGCTTCTGCAGAGCAGCTCGAGTCTGCTGGATCCGGGTGTCAAAAGGGTTCTCGGTCTGGGCGGTGTGTTGGCGTAGTGCAGCCTGGGTAAGAGGAATGGATGGCTGAACCACGGTCTGATTTGGTCTGGAGGAAGGATGTGTTTGAGATGTAGTCAGGATTGGATTCTGACCTTGAGAGGTTTGGGTTTGAGGTACTGTACTCTGTACATTTAGGTCCATTTGAGACTGGCTGGGCACGTTGTGAGCGATTGGTCTTTGGAGGTCTCCTCTTTGGGAAGCAGAAGGAGCTTGAGTTATCCTGCCTGTAGGTTCAGTCTGGTATCTCCCAACTGAACGCCCTTGCTGTGCATTTCGTTGTGGAGATCTAGACCGCCAATCCGAGGATCCACTGCTGTCCGAGCTGTCGACTTCACGATTGGGGTACGCCGGCGTTCCCTGCAAAGGGTCCCAAGGCATCTGCTGGAGGTGCGCGTTGGTGCGGATCTGGTCGTCGGTCCGAACACGGTTTGAATGTCGAACCTCTGCTGAAGATCGTGAGTTGGTAGTTCGGCGGTTTGCATTGGTTTGGTTGGTAGGGTGCGAGTGGCCAGTCTGAATAAGGGCATTGGGTTGGCGAAATGCATTTGTTGAAGCATTCGTCTGTGTTTGATTACCCAAACTCAAAGGCTCAGAGTTGAACAAACCAGTCTGCGAAAGATTTTGATTTTGCTCTGCGCGTTGCCGGATTGCCTGATTTGGTTGGTTTGCTTCTGGAGGGTATGTGTTCAAGTTGACATGCACTGTTTGAGGTTGTGCATTGTTAAGCTGGTCAGTGTGTGGCAACGTGTTGAGGTTTACATGAACTGTGTGAGCATGTGCACCAGGCTGAGAAGTACCCGTTTGTATGAGAATATTAGGATTGTGCTGGACAGGCTGTGGGAACGATCTCTGAGGGTCATTGTTTGGATATGAATTGATGTTTTGATGCCCATTGTCTGGGAACGCATTGATGTTGTGGTGAAATACATCTGTGTTCATATGGCCATTATGATGGAGTGGGTTGGAGCTGCTGGGAATGTTTTGAGGCATTGTGTTGATGTTCCCATTGTTGTTATTGGGTAAAGTGGTGAAGCTCTGTGGCTGTGAGTTGTGTAATGTTGGATCAGGGTGGTTTCCATTGACAAGAGCGCTGTTTGCAATCTGAAAAAAAAAAGCAGTATTATTGTTTAATGGAAAAAGATGAAGAGATTAACTTTGACTAGTTTTGTAATTCTTATCTTGCAACTATTGAATATGATAAGTCTTAATATAAAGATGTTTAATACCATCTTTAAAACTCATCTACCATAAAGACGAGTTAAAACTACCATTAAAACTCTACTGAGTTTATCCTAAAGAATTAATTCATGTACAATTTTACCAAACAATTTAAAACTAAATGATTTAGGTCATCTGTAAAAAAACTAAAAAAGTTCACAATATCTACAATATATATATATATATATATATATATATATATATTAGGGCTGGGAAACGATTAATCGCGATTAATCGCATCCAAAATAAAAGTTTGTGTTTACATAATATATGTGTGTGTAGTGTGTATAATTATTTTGTATATACAAATACGCACACATGCATGTATATATTTAAGAAAAATGTGTAATTAATAAATTAAATATTTATATTTATGTATAATATTAATTTTGTATAATACATGCAAATATTTCTTAAATGTTTACATGGATGTGTGTGTATTTATATATGAAGAGTTCAGATGCAAAAGCCTCTAAGTGCCATTTGAAATTTTCTTCTAAAATGATCATTTTTATCAAGCTTGTATATTCAATTTCAGTAATTTCACTTAAATGGCAATGAAGATGACCTATTAATTGTCATTTAAGTGAAATTACTGAACTTAAATATACAAGCTTGATAAAAATGATCATTTTAGAAGAAAATTTCAAATGGCACTTAGAGGCTTTTGCATCTGAACTCTTCATATACAAAATAATTATACACACTACACACACATATATTATGTAAACACAAACTTTTATTTTGGATGCGATTAATCGCAATTAATCGTTTCCCAGCCCTAATATATATATATATATATATATATATATATATATAAATGTTTTACAAATCAAAAGGTATTAATCTACTTTACACAAAACACAATAGTAGAAAGTGTAACTGTCGTACTGTGATACTTTCATTCTGGTTTGTCTTCTGAGGTCCAATAGCCTCTCTGAGTCTCCGATCCACTGTGAATATGAGCATCATGTCAGAGACTTTAGCATCAAAAAGCAAAACCCCAGACAGAAGCATTGAGGAGGGACATACCATTTCTCTGTCGCAGGAGCACAATAATGACAATAATAATGATGATGAGTGCCACAACACATGCAACTACAATCCCTGCGACGGCCCCTCCACTGAGACACGTACCTGTGAAGCAGGAGAACATGATTTTTAGATTTTACATTCGAAGACTTAGATTATTACGCAACCCCTAAGAACAGAAAACATAAATGGAGAGAAAAACACATCACAGAATCATCAATAATGGAGAAAGCGTCCTGCAGAGGAAATGCATTGTAGGTGGATGGAAATTATGACTCCTTCCAGTATAGTGACACATGAATTTATCAATCCTGTAGTTGATTACTCCCTCTCCGGTCAAGAAAATGAATGCCAGGCCGAAGAATGAACCGACAGATCCATCCGTCACTGTAGTGCCACCGAGAGCCATTAACTCACCCACAACGGCCAGGTCTATCTGCTGCTTTGATGCTCCTCCTGTGATGTCATTCCGTGCGGTGCAGGTATATGTGCCACTCTGATTGGTGGAGAAGATCTGCAGACTTAGAACGCCACTCCCTGATTGGCCGGCGGTCACCGGCTGGCCGTTGAGTACCCACGAGAAGGAGGCGGGAGGTAGAGAGGCAGATGTACAGGTGAGACGCACCGTCTGGCCCACCGTTGCATCTCCACCGCCGACACACTCACTCGAGGTCTTAGTCAACTGTGGGGCGTCTGGACCATCTGAGGAACCGACAATATTAAAGATTAAAATGCTTAATGACAATTTATCAGTATCAACATATGGGTCACAATGTATTTAAAGGGATAGTTCACTTTGAAATTAATTTTTGGTATGTTTTAGCTCACCTCAAGGGCATCCAAGATGTAGATGTCTTTGTTTAGGTCAAACCGTTGTTGTCTGTCAGTCATATAATGGAGGTCTATGGTCACCACCTCAAAGAGCATGCACAGAGAAGTCCAAATTAAACATGATTTAATGACTCGTAAATGTAAGTACACATTGATGGCCTAAGACACGAAACGAGCGGTTTGTGTGAGAAAACGAATGGTATTTATATCGTTTTTACCTCTTGTAACCACAGCCACGTCCAAGTGATCTGAGGGCGCGGGTGCTTTAAATACTGTCACACAAACCGCTCGTTTCGTGTCTTAGGCCATCAATGTGTACTTACATTTACGAGTCATTAAATCATGTTTAATCTGGACTTCTCTGTGCATGCTCTTTGAGGTGGTGACCATAGACCTCCATTATATGACTGACAGACAAGAACGGTTTGACCTAAAAATATCAAAATTGAAACTACTGCGGAAACAAAGACAACATCTTGGATGCCCTTGAGGTAAGCTAAAACAGTGAACTATCCCTTTAATTCGAATGGAAATTCAATGAAAAAATGTCAATGTGGTAATGTCTATTTTGGATAATCTAATAAATAAAACAGAAAGAAATAAAAAAAGTGTTATACAACAATACAAATAAAAGGTGCTTCGTCTAATTTGATTGTTTTATTTTTTACTGTAAAAAAAAACAAACATGTACAGCGATATTTACAGTTACTGGGAAATTCGTATTGAAATTCACCAAATGGTGACTAGTTTCTGCAACAATGACACATAACATTAACGGTGACTGACTCACAGTAGACGCTGAGGGTGGCCTTGGCTGTTTGTGCACTGACGGCGTTGCTGACGGTACATGAATACTCCCCGGCATCATCTCTCCTGGCTGGCGTGATGATCAGAGATCCAGCGCTGATGGTAATGCGGGTGTCAGAGGACAGAGCAGCGCCTCCTTTACCCCAAACCACACTGACCTCTGAACCCGCAGACCAGCTGCAACTCAGCGACACATTCGCACCTTCCAGAGGAAGAGGAGGCAGAGACAAACTCACTCCGTTCACAGCATCTGAAGATGGAGAACAAGGACAGGGTATGGAAGCTCGTTTGTGTCTCACAACTGCAACTTTATATCTTCCAATTCCGACTTTTTTACGAGTTTGTGTCGCACAACTGCAATTTATAATCTCGCAATTGAGAAAGTTTGTTTACATCTCGAAATTCAGATTTTTTGTTTTGTTTGTTTGAAAAGACTTTTCTGTTCAGAATTGACCATATGCACAGAACGCTCTTAAGAACAGTGTTGTAGTCGAGACCACCTCACTCGAGTCCGAGTCGAGACCGAGACCAGAGAGAGTCGAGTCCGAGTCAAGACCGAGTCCATAGAGTCATGTCCGAGACCAGAGACGGTCGAGTCCGAGTCGAGACCGAGTCCATAGAGAGTCGAGTCCGAGACCAGAGACGGTCGAGTCCGAGTCGAGACCGAGACCAGTGAGGGTTGATTACCTAATTTACTTTTATTTACTTAGAGAAATCCTTTTTTTTTTTTACTGAATTTACTTAGAGTTTAAAAAATATGATCAGTTTAGGGTAAAAAGGCCACATAGTAGGTGGTGTTAAAAGTCATTTTATTACAATTTGTCATGCGCAGTTGCACACTAGAAAATCACCAATCACTGGGCGTGTCAATAAATTAAAAAAAATATTTTATTAACATACATTAATAATCATGAAAAATATTTTTAATTGAACTCGAGTGGAATCGGGAATAAGTCCGAGTCCTAAAAAAAAAAAATGTTAGAGTACGAGTCAATTCCAAGTCCAAATGCAGACGAGTCCATGACAAGACCAAGACCATTAAAATATGGACCAGAGTTCGAGACGAGTCCGAGTCTCGAGTACTACAACACTGCTTAAGAACTTTCCAGCTGGAAAACTTCTGGTGAAATGCCACTTGTTAGTTTATAATCAGAATGTATAGTTCAAACTGCAACATAAAAAAGGCACGTCCCAGTTTTCCTCCTCAGCAAAATTCAATTCGACCATTAGTTTTCACAAGCGTCAGTAGTGCAAATTAAAGTTTTATTGTGCACTTTAGTCAAATTCATTAACAAAATGTGAGTTTTCACAAGTGTGCTGAGATCAGCGAGCATTGACTGACAGCTTCTGTCATTATAAAGGGAGTAAATGCTTTCTGAGTAATCCATTGACATTTTAAAGAAAAGTTATTGTTTTTCATGAGACTTTGTGACGTTTCCTACTTAACTACAAAAAAATGCTAAACCTTAACCAAATTTATTTGAAAAAATAGTGATTTTATCATTTTTAATGTTTGTTCAAAAGCAAAATGTGCAAGAAAAAAAAATGATAGGAAATTAAATAAGACGATAAATGTTTCTCTGCCACCATCTACTGTTTATAGTTGTAATTAATGTTTTTTTTTTTTTTAATAAAAGTGGATTTCCTACATCTGAAGACGCTCGGTTTAACAAATACGGACTATCTCAGAAGAATGAACAAATAATGTACATTGTCATCACATTAAAAATGTGAGAAAAAAAGTCCAATTACAGACATCTGTGTTTCTTATTACACAATCCCCATTGGCTTCAAGTCACTGGCAATGACACTGGTTTATTGGCAAATTAGGTGTGATAACTGCATAAATCAACCATTGATGGTTTTGTATCGATGTAAAGAAACAGTTCACTGGAAATGCCCAAGCTAGCTCATCGAAAACCAGGAAGTAACCGTGCATATGATCAATTGCGAGTTTATATCTCGCAATTGTGAGATGAAAAGTCTGAATTAATTCCATGGCAGAAATATGTTTCAATACCAGGATGAGTAAACAATGTTTTCTATTCTTTAAAGTGATGTGTGGTCATACCCAACACCTTGAGCTGCACTGAACGGGTGTTCACGCCGAGTCCAGAGGTAGAAGAGGGTTCGACAGAGACGCTGTAGTTTCCCGAATCACTGAGCTGGCTGTTACTGATTTTGAGCTGAGTGGCAGTGACTGAGATTCTGTTCTGATACTGTTGGACGGGCAGTACAGAAGGGTTGCCGTTTACCCACATGGCCAGTGTAATCTCTCCACCAGTAGTCCATCTGATAAGAGGCGCATCAGACACTGTCTGTACTGTAAAGATAGCATCTTTCCCTGATGCCACCAACACTGGTGTCTTCTCAAACTGAACTGGAACAGGGTCCAGACACACAGCGATCAAAGGCAAACCTATGGAGAGTTAGAGGTGGAAAGTTAGCTTCAACAGTTCACTGTATTTGCATCAAAAAAAGTTGTATCTGATGCTGTTAAAATGCGTCGCAAAAGATTTTTATTGTAACGTAGGCCAAATATGATTTTAAACGGATGTTAATCGGATGCATAAAGCCAGTTCTTATCAGCATAAACTTTTGCTGATAGTTTACTCACCCCCTTGTCATCCAAGATGTCCACGTCTTTCTTTCTTCAGTCGAAAAGAAATTAAGGTTTTTGATGAAAACATTCCAGGATTTTCTCCATATAATGGACTTCAATGGGGTCCAAACAGTTCAAGGTCCAAATCAGAGTTTCAGTGCAGCTTCAAAGGGCTTTAAACGACACCAGACGATGATAAGATGATGAACAGGAGAGTCACGAATGGGCATCACAGAACAGAGCAAGGCGAGCATTTGTGCTTATAAAACTTTAACTTTTTTATTTATTTTTTAAATGAGTGATCGTTTCGCTCGATAAGACCCTTATTCATTGTCTGGTGTCGTTTAAAGCCATTTAAAGCTGCACTGAAACTCTCATTTGGACCTTGAACCGTTTGGACCCCATTGAAATCCATTATAAGGAGAAAAATCCTGGAATGTTTTCATCAAAAACCTTAATTTCTTTTGGACCGAAGAAAGAAAGACATGGACATCTTGGATGACATGGGGGTGAGTAAATTATCAGCAAAAGTTTTTTTAAAAGTGAACTACTCCTTTAAGTTCACACAGATGTCCTTCCAAAGTAGACAGGTTTAGTTTATCACATTAACAATGGGAGCGTTCTACAAACACAGACAGAAACTTTAAATGCGATTACATCTGAAAGAAATGCATTCATATAGGTGTGGCATGAAGAGACATACTAATGATGGACGTAAAAGAGCTCAAACAAAATGAACAATGCTGTAAAACAGGCAACTCAACTATGTGTGACACAAACTTCAGCGCTTGTACATCAAAGCTTTAAATATATCTTGCATCTGTCTACGATCAGTGTTTTGACGTGATCGCCTATATAATCCAGAAGTTCCTGACACTAAAGTGTTGGTTGGTTGTCATATGAACTAATTGTTTTCACATTATTTTCCTTTTTTAATATATATTAAAAAAGGAAAATAATGTGAAAACAATATATATTAAAACTGAGTTTGTACTGATACCTCTTGTCAAATTATTTATATTTTTTTGCATCAAGTTGCTTTTGTTAATGCTGTCTTTTTTCAGGTTTGTTGTTGCATATCAATCAGAAGTATTTTCAGTGAAAAATAAAGTGTTTTACAAGTTAAATATCTTATTGTAGTGGTCTAATTTAAACGGGGTACTACTGTAAAATGCACAGATGTGTCTACAAAATCACATCTGGCAATCGTGACACTGAAGACACAAAACTCACTTATCAACGAGACAATCACAGGATGCAGCAGTATGTTCATGTCAGTCTGGAGGGCCTGAGCAAAAACATTAAATTAGTTTCCAGATGTTTCATTCAATCACACATTAAAGCATATAAATCACAATAAGAGACGTTCTGTCAAATTGAAAGAGATACTGACATCAATCTGTTTCATAAGGGATTGCTTTGACAACAAGCTGGAATAGTGCTCAAGCTTGCGATTATTAAGTGAATCATAGCATTAAAATGTGAAATGAAAGTTGTTATATAGACTCACTAAGCAGTCTTCGTTTGGTTTTCATTTTCGTGTCTTTAAGTCCGTGTGTGTTTCGGCAACAGACGCTAACTTCCTGAATACCTGTCGACGCCTCGCTCACCTCACTGCATCGTCACAACAACTACTTGAGATCATCAATCATCCTTAGAAGGAAAAATAGCCTATACGTTGGAAACGTAATAATTAATTAATTTATTTATTTAAAAGTCTCTGATTCATTTTTGTACATATCAAGGAAACGTTAACGTATCCTTGATATGTACTATAATGAATAAAAAAAATGGTTTTAATAAGTATAAAAATTTTTATACTTATTAAAACCATTTTTTATTATTATATTTTTTTTATTAAAACCATTATATGTTCTAGCACACTCATCATAAAAATCAAGTTTCGATAGAGCAAACGTTTAATAGGATTTGATAAAATAAAAATTAAATTGTAAAACTTACGTGCGGTTGACGTCATATTGTGGGCGTCGTCGCCTGCGCAGGAGGAGGATAAACGGATGCTAATTTATTTTAAACAAAACTCATTTCGTTCATTGACGCAAGACGATGTCAATACAACAGAAAGACAGTAAACACCGAGTTTAAGCTTCGAAAGTCAAGGTAAGATTGTTTTTTAGACCTGGCCAACCAGTCAGTCTCACCTGAAGGAAAGATAAAAGAAAGGCAGAAATAATTGTAGTCTCTCTAATGATTTGTCAGGTGTGTCATCATGGGGTCTTGGATGTTGGTTTGGATTCTGTGTACCACAGTCATTCTGAGTGAGTGTGTTTGGCGTTATTGAATGAAATAGTTCATTATTAAAATATAAAACTTGTTTGGACATGTAATATTACTTCAAATACAAGTCTAATCATTTTTTTTTCCTCGTCAGCAAAGAACAGTTTTATCCACAAACATTCATCGAATTAAAATTGTTTAAGTAAAACATTGGAATTACATCAATACAGAAAATGTATCAAAATAAACACTGTAAATAAAAATGCTATTTTAATAGTAGAATGCATTTTCCAAAAATACTTGTATTACATTCATTTATTTTTTTTCACCAATTATTAGAGTTATTTAGAGTGATTAAATCAATTTTTAAATCATTTTCATGCTTGAGTGAAAGTTTTGCATCGTAAAACTATTGCTTTATGATTATTATGCATGCATTCCTCAAAAAAAGGAGTGAAACTGTAACAGGGAATTGGAAACAGTCAGTTTGCAAACCCTATTATATGTAATATAACATATTAATTATTTTCGAATTACTGTCCCCAGTGCCTGTGTGTCTTAATGGATCAATAACAGTGCATGTTAAGACTGGACGACCTCTCTATGTTGCGCTTGGTCAAAATATTGTTTTGGAAGCCGAATTCAAGAAAAATCCAGACGACGTGATAGACATGGTGACGTGGGACCTGGAGAGAGGGAAGGACACTATCAGACTCTCGGCTGCTCAGGGAAGCAGAATATCTTTGGAGAAAAACAATGCACTTCTGCGGATCTCTCATGTTGCAGAAGGAGACTTTGGGATCTACAAGGTCACCGTTACGGACAGTAATGGCTATCAGGAGCATGACTCTGTAGAAGTGCGAAAGATAGGTAAATATATGACCACAGTGTTAGTTCAGACTGACCTGTGCACCAGCTGTTTTGAATATTTTCAAGTCATGCACAGCTATTTAAGTCTAAAGGCATGTCATGCATAACACGCATGCACACAACCAGTTGAACAAGTTTCTTTTTTTACATCTACTTCTTTCAGAGGAACCTCCAAAGGCGTATATTGCACGCGTGTTGGAGTGTGTGGTGGATAAACATGACAAGGCGCAGTGGGACAGTCCTCAGTTCTCATGGCTGGTCGATGGCATTCCAGTAACCAATCAAACCGGCAGTAGACTCAACATCTCAGTGGTTCAGGGAGTTAACTACACCTGCGTCATCAAGAATAGCCTCAACGTAACGTTCATGACGCATTATGAAGCACCAAAAGGTATTTTGCAATGTCAAGAATGTATACAGTAGCTAGGGTTTGAATTTTAACCATCACGATTCAGATTCTTATCAATTCCTAATTTCTATTCCAAAAACAGACTGTTCTCATGAAATGGCGTATTTTCATTTTTGGCGTGCTAGCAAAAAAAAACAAAAAAACTTAGTTGTGCCAGTTTCCACGCAAAGTTTGTGATCTATAAAAAACTAACTTGGCGGGAGAATGTGCGCACCATTAAGCAAACTTTGAGCCGTGCGTGCGCACATTCTGGAGACAAATGGAATTGGAGACACAGATGGTGAGCTGTAGTTAAATGTCTTTTTGGTCACTTTTAGAACGAAAGTCTAAAGAAAATTATAGTCTATAGGATACAGAAAGATAATAGCCTACAAATAAAATTTCACTCACCAAGCCAATCACTTGAAGCCAATATCCATCCCTTCGCCGCGCCAGCACACGCGTTGGGCCGTTTAGTGAAACCGACGCACATAATCTAACGGCAGATGAACCTTAAATCTTCATGAGTAGGCTAATAAATAAAGTGCACGTTCTCAATAACAGTTTAAATAAATTTTACTTCTGATAAACATTTAGATTAAATATGCCATTCTCGTTAATGGAGTTAAACACTTAAACTACATGAAATCATTACTGAGAAGTTACAAAAAATATATATCCAATAAATAGAAATATAGGCTATATTTGAAGAGTTCAGATGCAAAAGCCTCGAAGTGCCATTTGAAATTTTCTTCTAGAATGACCATTTTTATCAAGCTTGTGTATTTAAGTTCAGTAATTTCACTTAAATGACAATTAATAGGTAATCTTCATTGCCATTTAAGTGAAATTACTGGTCTTAAATATACAAGCTTGATAAAAATGATTTCAAATGGCACTTAAAAGCTTTTGCATCTGAACTCTTCATTTGTTGTGGATGCAATGCTTTTGAACATTTTCCCTCTGGCATGCAGTGTTTTATGATAATTGCAGATTGTCTGAGAAAATAGTTCCACAATCCACAACCATGTTTCCATTAAAAATATAAATTCATTAAAAATACTATTTTGAAAATCTTTCTCTGAAATGTATTTGACACTATTTGATTTATTCATTCAAAAACAAGGCAAGGATATAGGCTACTAAAAAAATTAATAATAATAATTTATTGCGACACAGCACATCTGTATTTCATATTTTCCTAACGTCTTGTACGTTAACATGGTCTCACGTGGATGAATAATCACATGCAAATGATATGCAGATGAGGATATGCATATTTAAACTAGGCGTTGTAAGCTCCATATATGGTTATTTCGGGGAGGAGACGCATGTGCGCGCATTCTTCCGCTGACTGGGATTTATAAAGGGAATTCTGCGCAGGTTCTGGCGTACGCACGGTTTTATAAATCTGAATATTTTTTTTTTTGCTTTCGGGCGCACGTACACTTTTAGTAATGGATCCTACGCACAGTTTTATAAATGAGACCCCAGGACTCTCGCGTTGCTCTCCGCCGTTTTGAAAAGGTCAAAGGTTATCTCATCTCGGCAACTCGTGCATCAAAATATTCTAGGAGCTGCCCAGTGGAAAATACCACATGAGGTGGTGTTCACTGTTCATGTGCATTTTCCACGTCGGTGTTTGATATTTACCATAATTACCACAGCACGTCAAGGCTCCAACAGTAACATAGCTGATTTAGCTGAATAACGTTAACAAATCGAATATTTTATTGTAAAGTCTTACAAAATATTTTACATATACGTTTTTTTTCAAGGGTTGTTATTTATCAAAGCTTTTGTGAAATGAGTGCATAACATAAATCGTATTAATAAGATATGCCTTTATTTCATTATTGCATCATAACCAGCTTGTCTGTGGAAACGGTCCTCACCACTTTTTGATACCAGTCCACAGAACTGATCTGTCTGATCTGCGCGCTTCTCTTATATATTCAGTTGCTCAATGCAGTGCACTTTAAATCATTGCTGTCTTTTTGGGCCTTATTGCTGCTTGCAGCTGTATATCGACTCATGTTTTGAGGTGTGCACTTTTAGAATAAGTACATTTAAGCAGATTCAGCACATGGTTTCTAAAGTACTGTCAGTCCGCTTGTAATGTGTTGTGTTTGACTCTTCAGAATCTCGGCCCTGTTGTACGGCACTGATCGCAGTTGGAGTGATAATTATAACAGCACTCTGTGTGGCTGGGTAAGACCTCTAATCTATTCTACTATATATATATATATATATATGAAGAGTTCAAATGCAAAAGCCTCTAAGTGCCATTTGAAATTTTCTTCTAGAATGATCATTTTTATCAAGGTTGTATATTTAAGTTCAGTAATTTCACTTAAATGGCAATTAATAGGTAATCTTCATTGTCATTTAAGTGAAATTACTGAACTTAAATATATAAGCTTAATAAAAATGATCATTTTAGAAGAAAATTTCAAACGGCACTTAGAGGCTTTTGCATTTGAACTCTTCATTTATATTTAAATGGGTTGTGCCTCGGCATGCCTTTGGCCACTCAAACTGTCCTCCTCACCGTGCATTAAAGGAGGTATCCTTGATCACAGGCTGATTCTGAGCAAATTTGATCTAATATTTAATGCTTTTTAAAATGTTGCATAATTAAGTATCAAATGAGAATCAAAAAAAAAGATTGACTATATTTTGAGACAACAATCTTGTTAATGATTTTCAGTGTTGTTTAAGGTAATTAAAGCACCAGTTTTTGTGTTAGGCACGATAATAAACAGTGCCTGACTTTTCCATTTGTTTACATGTGACCAGTGTTGGGTAAGTTACTCTAAAAAAGTAATTAATTACTAGTTACTAATTACCTCTTCAACAGTGTAATTAGGTTACTGTACTAATTACTCTCTCTAAAAAGTATTAAATTACTTTTAATTACTAATTACTTTCAAAATCCCAGCTGAATAATACAAGGATAGACATTAATCTGTTTTAATTCTTTCAAATAAATCTATAAAATTGCATGAATTATCCTTAAACTGACCAAGGTGGAGAAGGTTACATTATAAAAACAAACATTTTTAGCATTTCGATGTTAAACCCACTATTGTTTTATGTCTGAT